TGGCTACAGGGATCCATGCTTTTGTGCACTTCCAGTTTGATCACTGCAGCTCATTGTACCTAGGAATGAAGCCACATACCCTGAGAAAGCTGAAGCTGACATGTAACCCTGTAGCACATCTGCTCAGAAACAAAGGCTGCTGTGAAGATAATGTCCCAAAGCTACTTCTGAGGGCATTCTGTGCAAAACATTTAAAAATACTGCAAGTTTTATTTGTCAATAAATACATGCGGAGGCTCCAGCATGGCAGATGGAAATGGTAAAATTATCAATAATAATGCAGAAAAAGCAAGTATGGGGGGGGGGGGGAGAAACCAGATGATATAGTCTCATCATATGGTGTTGACAACACTCTTTCCATTCCACTAGTATCTTTGAAGAATGTTAAACAGAAGTTACTAAAATCAGTAGGTCCAGATAATTTGCATCCAAGAGTTTTGAAAGAACTAGCTGAGCAGCTCACTAGACCATTAACATAGCTTTTCAATAAGCTTTAGAGAACTGGGGAAGTTCCAGAAGACTTAAAGAAAGCAAACATTGTGCCAATTTTTAAAGAGGGTAAACAGGATGACCCGAATAATTATAGGCCTATCAGCCTCACACTGAGAGTCTCTGGATTAAGTTTAGAAGTGTGAGCAACAAGGGTGATGTTGTGGTGGGAGTCTACTATAGACCACCGGACCAGGGGGATGAGGTGGACGAGGCTTTCTTCCAGCAACTCGCAGAAGTTACTAGATCACATGCCCTGGTTCTCAAGGGAGACTTCAATCACCCTGATATCTGCTGGGAGAGTAATACAGCGGTGCACAGACAATCCAAGAAGTTTTTGGAAAATGTAGGGGACAATTTCCTGGTGCAAGTGCTGAAGGAACCAACTAGGGGCAGAGCTCTTCTTGACCTGGTGCTCACAAACCGGGAAGAATTAGGAGGGGAAGCAAAAGTGGATGGGAACTTGGGAGGCAGTGACCATGAGATGGTCGAGTTCAGGATCCTGACACAAGCAAGAAAGGAAAGCAGCAGAATACGGACCCTGGACTTCAGTTCCCTGAGGGAGTCAAAGTCTGCTTTTCTGATGGGCAAGATCTCCTGGGAGAATAACATGAGGGGGAAAGGAGTCCAGGAGAGCTGGCTGTATTTTAAAGAATCCTTACTGAGATTACAGGGACAAACCATCCCGATGTGTAGAAAAAAAAATAGTAAATATGGCAGGCGACCAGCTTGGCTTAACAGTGAAATCCTTGCTGATCTTAAATACAAAAAAGAAGCTTACAAGAAGTGGAAGATTGGACAAATGACCAGGGAAGAGTAGAAAAATATTGCTCGGGCATGCAGGAGTGAAATCAGGAAGGCCAAATCACACCTGGAGTTGCAGCTAGCAAGAGATGTTAAGAGTAACAAGAAGGGTTTCTTCAGGTATGTTAGCAACAAGAAGAAAGTCAAGGAAAGCGTGGGCCCCTTACTGAATGAGGGAGGCAACCTAGTGACCGAGGATGTGGAAAAAGCTAATGTACTCAATGCTTTTTTTGCCTCTGTCTTCACGAACAAGATCAGCTCCCAGACTACTGCACTGGGCAGCACAGCATGGGGAGGAGGTGACCAGCCCTCTGTGGAGAAAGAAGTGGTTCGGGACTATTTAGAAAAGCTGGACGAGCACAAGTCCATGGGGCCAGATGCGTTGCATCCGAGAGTGCTAAAGGAGTTGGCGGATGTGATTGCAGAGCCATTGGCCATTATCTTTGAAAACTCATGGCAATCGGGGGAAGTCCCGGATGACTGGAAAAAGGCTAATGTAGTGCCCATCTTTAAAAAAGGGAAGAAGGAGGATCCTGGGAACTACAGGCCAGTCAGACTCACCTCAGTCCCTGGAAAAATCATGGAGCAGGTCCTCAAGGAATCAATTCTGAAGCACTTGGAGGAGAGGAAAGTGATCAGGAACAGTGATCATGGATTCACCAAGGGCAAGTCATGCCTGACTAATCTAATTGCCTTCTATGATGAGATAACTGGCTCTGTGGATGAGGGGAAAGCGGTGGACGTGTTGTTCCTTGACTTTAGCAAAGCTTTTGACACTGTCTCTCACAGTATTCTTGCCAGCAAGTTAAAGAAATATGGGCTGGATGAATGGACTATAAGGTGGATAGAAAGCTGGCTAGATTGTCGGGCTCAAGGGGTAGTGATCAATGGCTCCATGTCTAGTTGACAGCCGGTATCAAGTGGAGTGCCCCAAGGGTCGGTCCTGGGGCCGGTTTTGTTCAGTATCTTCATAAATGATTGGAGGATCGTGTGGATTGCACCCTCAGCAAGTTCGCAGATGACACTAAACTGGGAGGAGAGGTAGATACGCTGGAGGGTAGGGATAGGATACAGAGGGACCTAGACAAATTGGAGGATTGGGCCAAAAGAAATCTGATGAGGTTCAACAAGGACAAGTGCAGAGTCCTGCACTTAGGACGGAAGAATCCCATGCACCGCTACAGACTAGGGGCCGAATGGCTCGGCAGCAGTTCTGCAGAAAAGGACCTAGGGGTTACAGTGGACGAGAAGCTGGATATGAGTCAACAGCGTGCCCTTGTTGCCAAGAAGGCCAATGGCATTTTGGGATGTATAAGTAGGGGCACTGCCAGCAGATCAAGGGACGTGATTGTTTCCCTCTATTCGACACTGGTGAGGCCTCATCTGGAGTACTGTGTCCAGTTTTGGGCCCCACACTACAAGAAGGATGTGGAAAAATTGGAAAACGTCCACCGGAGGACAACAAAAATGATTAGGGGACTGAAACACATGACTTATGAGGAGAGGCTGAGGGAACAGGGGATGTTTAGTCTACGGAAGAGAAGAATGAGGGGGGGATTTGATAGCTGCTTTCAACTACCTGAAAGGGGGTTCCAAAGAGGATGGCTCTAGACTGTTCTCAGTGGTAGCAGATGACAGAACAAGGAGTAATGGTCTCAAGTTGCAGTGGGGGAGATTTAGGTTAGATATTAGGAAAAGCTTTTTCACTAGGAGGGTGGTGAAACACTGGAATGCGTTACCTAGGGAGGTGGTAGAATCTCCTTCCTTAGAGGTTTTTAAGGTCAGGCTTGACAAAGCCCTGGCTGGGATGATTTAATTGGAGATCGGTCCTGCTTTGAGCAGGGGGTTGGACTAGATGACCTCCTGAGGTCCCTTCCAACCCTGATATTCTATGATTCTATGACCCTGGGTAAGATAATGGAGCAGCTGATAAGGGACATGATTAATAAAGACCAAAAGGAATGTAATGGAATTAATATGAATCAGTGTGGGTTTATAGAAAATAGACCCTATCAAACTAACTTGATTTTTTTTTTTTTAATGAGAACACAAGTTTGCTTGATAAAGGTAATAGTGTTGACCTAACAGACTTGGACTTGGTACTGCTCAACATTCTGATTAAAAAATTAGAATAGAAAATTAATATGGCACTCATTAAATGGATTAAAAACTGGTTAACTGCAAACTTAACTATAACTGTAAACAAGGAATTGTCACAAACATGTTTGTTTCCACTGGGGTCCTGCAGGGCTCAGTTCTTGGTCCTATGCTATTTAACATTTTTATCAATGACCTGGAAAAATCAAAATCATCACTGATAAAGTTTGTAGATGACACAAAAATTGGGTGTGCACTAATTAATGAAGAGGACAAGTCATGGATGCAGAGCTATCCGCATCGCTTGGTAAAATGGACACAGGCAAACAATATGCATTTAATACAGCTAAATGTAAATGTATACATCTAGGAACAAAGAATGTAGGCCATACGTACAGGATGGGGGACTCAATCCTGGGAACCAGTGACTCTGAAAAGGATTTGGGGGTTGTAGTGGACAGTCAACTGAACACGAGCTCCCAGTGTGGCACTGTGGCCAAAAGAGCTAATGAGACCCTTGGATTTATAAATAGGGGAAACTCGAATAGAAGTAGAGAGGTTATTTTACCACTGTACTTGGCATTGGTGTGACCGATGCTGAAATACTGTGTCCGGTTCTGGTGTCCACAATTCAAGAAGGATGGTGATACATTGAAGAGGGTTCAGAGAAGAGCCACAAGAATGATTACAGGATTAGAAAACACGCTGTATGGTGATAAACTCAAGGAGCTCAATCTGTTTAGTTTAACAAAGAGAAGGCGGAGGGGTGACTTGATCACAATCTACAAGTACCTACATGGGGAAACAAATACTTAATAAAGAACTCCTCTTCTGTCTGCTGAGAAAGGTTTAACATGATTCAATGGCTGAAAGTTAAAGCTAGATAAATTCAGACTGTGCGAGTAATTTACCATTGGAACAGTGTACCAAGGGTCGTAGTAGACTCTCCATGATGACAATTTTAAAATCAAGATTGGATTTTTTTTTATTTTTTTTTAAAAACACCAGCTCTAGGTATTATCTGGGGGAAGTTTTATGGCCTGTGCTATACAGGAGGTTTGATTAGATAATCATAATGATCCCTTCTGGTCTTAGAATCTATGAACTCCCATTCATCCATGTCAGAAAATGACTCACTGAGGACAGCAGGTTGCTCGCCTCTGGGCAGTGGCAGGACCCAGCTGGCTCCACCCATAGAGAAGCCTTTGGCATCATGGAACAGACAAGGGGGTCCTAACCACCCCACTCTACTTGTGCCTCTTGCTCAGGCTCCAAAGGGGTGCAGCCAGCCAGGTATCTAGGGCAGGGTAGCAGAGAGGAGAGCTGGCAGGGAGTCACCAGTGGTCAAAGAAGGGAGGAGAGAGAAAGCAGCAAGCTGCTGCTGAGGCTGGGCTGAGCTTCCATCCCCCATATCTGAATACAAGGGACTCCCTGCACACTCTCTCCATTGCTATCCTGCCCTGTCCTGGACACCTGGTCAGCCACAGCCCCACGTCCCCTGACAACCTCATTCCACCCCCACCCTGTTTGAAAGCCAATGGCCTAAATTGAATAAGGTGCAACCACCAGGACAACGAGCCTGAAATGGGGAAAAGAAACCATGAATTTACCTTCATTTCTGTAGCTGGTGCTGGGAACTCACTGGCACGAGGGAAAAGTAACAGAACCAACATAACGATCACAGCAGAGAAGAAAACCATAATGACAGAGAATCTGAGGAAAGAATTGGACAGGAAGAATCCCACTATTAGGTCTCCCAGCCACACAGCTCCTTTTATAAATGAGACATTGACACTGCTCACATTTTGTCCATACCACATCAAACAAACCAATATCCCCATATCCCTCTTCTCGGCCTAACCCCAGCCCAGGTATTTAGTGCAGCCACAGGACTCCAAAAAAAGCACCCCTCACAAATTCAAAAGAATTCTACTCTTCTTTTGTCCTTCCCATTAAGATATAAAGTGCCAACATACTGAAATGAAAGATAGTAATTCCCCATAAATCAGACACTGGTAGTGAAGCAGTACCCAGAAAATCTGATTTTCAAAACCACTTAGGGCAACTGGTCATACAATTTCCACTTGATCCCCTAGGCAGCACTGAAAATCTCAGACTTGTAGCGTAAGGTTTGAATTGGATGTTTTGCTGGAGCCTGGTACAGAATAGTCTCTGTACTGCCTACCCATAAGAGCACCGGGAAATAGTTACATTTGCTTGAATCAATCATTTTAATTATTTATGCGACTTTCATGGGGGGAATCTTGGCTCAGTGAGCAAAGACTTAAAAAACAGATGAGTCTCTTAATCAGCATCCTGTCCCACAACCACACATGGGCTTTAGAGTGACAAGCTCCTGAAGTGATTTAACCTTCACTGCTGCAACAAAAAGACAAATGGGAAAGGCCAAGCCCTGGAAAAGTGCCCTTTAGGAATTAAATAAATATATATATGACAGTTCACACCCAAAATCCGCCAATAATCCTTCCCACCCTACTTGGTATGTACAAGTACTCTACACACTGTAGCACTCTATGGAGAGCGGGTAGACTACAAATGAGCTGGTTAGTGTTTATGGACTCAATCTAACTCCCTCTTAAATTAATGAGAGTCTGCTATTAACAGGAGATTAAAATGGATCCTATTCAAGCTGTGAGGAATTAAAGAAACAGTGCCCTAAAATCCAGATGTACTAGGACAGTCAGGCATTTCACTTCTAATAACTTTAGCTTTCTTTATCCAGAAGGCTACATCTCCTTACCTTGCAAGACCGGAGGTCCTGGATAACAGCATGCAGAGCAGCAACATCAAGACACAGAGCAGCGCTAAAATAAATACTCCTGGCCCCACCCCAAGCACAGTGCCAGCCATTCTGGAGGAAAGAGAAAGCATCAGCAAACCTGCTTCAGCTGGCCTTCCTCAATCACACAGAGGATAGATTTTTCTGCAGGTTCCATTTTTAAAACATGTAACTATTCAAAAATAAAAACAAATACTTTAACACTAACAAACTAAGTGCAGAGAACAACCTGGGAAACTAACTATCATCTCCTCAGGCTAGTAATTTCATCTGGTAATTATTCTTCAGGTAATGCTATGTGAAGACACTGGAAGTATAAGAACAAGGAGATTTTTTTGTTTTAGGACTATTTGTTAACTATATTCTGTTTACCCAAATTCCTGCTCCAATTCCAGCTTCATATGGACTTTTTAAAAAATAAATTTATATTCTAAACTGTTATGTAGTGTTGTGTGTATTATGAAATGCATTCCACCCAAGAGGAGTATATCTTAGTGAAGTGATCCTGGTGTATAGTTTGCATACCATTTGTTAAATATGTACAACATTTTGGGAGCCAGCTAAATGAAAGGTGCTACATAAATAAAGAAAAGGAAAGAAAAGGAGTACTTGTGTACAAGTACTCCTTTTCTTTTTGCGAATACAGACTAACACGGCTGTTCCTCTGAAACCGTACATAAATAAAGGTTATTAGTACAAAAGAGTTGATGCACAGTACATCAGCCGAATACACTAAGGGAGTTTACATGCTGTGTATTATTTTATGTATGCTTTCAAATTTAGGTGAATTACCTTTCACTGATGACAGCTGGCAGTTAGAATGATTAATGTTTAAATATCTAGTAACCTCTTCTACTACAAGCTGAGACACCAACTTTTTCACCCACCAAGGAGAGCTACTAACGGGCTAGGATTCACCCACAGTCCATCTGCACGGTAGGAAAATAGTCCTGGTCATTTCCCCTTGCACAGAAATAGCTTGGAGTTTCCAGGCACCCAGAAGTGGTCCGACTGGCCCCCGCAGCCGGACCCAGCCCGTGGGACGATTCTGTCCGGACCGGGCGGCAGCATTTTGCTCTGCCATGGGGTCCCGCACACGGGCGGGGCTTCGCAGCTGCCGCAAGGTCGCAGCAGGCGGCTGCAGCATTTGCCTGGAGCAGCGCGGCCCAGGCCCCTGCGGGGGAGGCCAGGCCCCTGCCGGCTCTTGGGCCGCCGGAGCCCACCCGGGAGCCAGGGCTCCGCTGAGCCGTGGGACCCCCCCAGGCAGATTCCTGCGCGGAGCCGGGCGGGCCGGGGCCGGGGCGGTGCGGGGAGCCGCGGACCCAGCCGTAACGCCTGGGGAGGATGGAGACCCAGCGAGCCGGGGGTGCAGCAGCCCCCGCGGCCCGGTGCCCACGGGCCGCGCTCCGTACGGGCTGCGGGCTCCCACCGTCCACTGGCCTCAGCGCACCCCACGCTCGGGGCCGCCTCAGCCGCCCCGCGCCCCGCGCCCGCATCCGGATCCGGCGCCTCAGAGCCGGCCGCGCGCGGGGCCTCACGGACACTCGAGGGGCCGGAGAAGCCCCGGCCTGGCCCTGGGGTCGGTCTCGCGGGCGGGGCGGCACCGCCCGGGCCCGGGCCCAAGGCGTCGGCTCCTACCTGCGCCCGGGCCGGGCCCCGACACTTCGCTTTCCCCCGGCTGCTCGAGCTCACACGACGGGGCGCCAAAGAGAGCCAATGGCAGATAAGCTTCTATTCCGGGCTGTGGCTGTGCACCAGTCAGCATCCCCCTCTCAGCAGCGCCTCGCTCTCCGCTTGCCCGCTCTTCGCGGCCGGTTTCCCCGGGCAACCAGCCGCCTCGCGCGTGTTGAAATGTGCCATCTGATTGGTTACTGCTCAGCGCTGGGCGCCAATCACTGTGGCCCGCTCCGCTGCCCCGTATCGCTATTGGTTACAGCAACTCTCCCCCCCACCACGTGACAGGCGGTCCGCGACTGAGGGCGGAACACGGCAGCTCGGCTCGCGGCGACGCCGGCCCCGCCTCCTCGTTCCGGGGCGGGAGAGTCGAGCTGGGCCCCGCCCCCGGCCGACGGTTCCTCGCGCCGGAGGGGCTCGTGCGGCGCCCCTGAGGAGCCCTGCGGGCTCGGGGGTGGCCGGGCACGTGGGCATCGGGTCCCGGCTCCGTCCTGGATCCTCTCGCCTCTGAGATCCGCCTTCCCGCTCCTTCGCCTGAGGGGGAGGCTCCCCCGGTGCTCGGCCGGCGGGGTCCCCGGGCTTTCACGGGCAGCCGACGCCCCAGGTCCCAGCCACCGCGCTCGCTGCCCCAGGCCTCCTGCGCCACGGGCCTGTGTCGTGGTTGGGTTTAGCCCGGTCTCGTGGCTCGCGGGCTGCGGGATCCGCTTGTCCTCTGTGCCCCAGCGAGGCTGAAGAAGCCCCGCCAATCCCTGTGTCTAGCCCTCAGACGGCGCCACAAAATGTGGGGGCCGCCCCCCTAGAGACGACCCCGCAGCCCGGGGCTGGCTCCCTGCGAATCTGTCCGCTCTCCTTTGTGTGCCCGAGCCCCTGACTGAAGGAACACCCCCCAACCAGCCAGCCGCCTCCAGGTGGGTGAATCCCCCAGATGAGGGAGCCCCCTCGCTTGTCTGATACCATACAGCGTGAGGAATCTTCCCCCCCTGGTGCCCTGTACCACCAGCCTGTTTGGAAAACTCTCCTGAGCAACAATCTTGACATGCTAAATCCCCATCCCACTGCACCTCCCCTCCCTCATTAGGCCCCACCTCTACATACCCCCAACTTCTTCTTTTCACCTCCTTGAAGACCACTCCCTCCACTCTCATCTTGTTCTTAAAAGGATACTGCTACTAACCAAATTACAAACACTAAAAATATAATAAAATAGTTACAAACACATCAAAACTCATTTAGAAATAAGAAAAGGAGGACTTGTGGCACCTTAAAGACTAACCAATTTATTTGAGCATAAGCTTTTGAGAGTTACAGCTCACTTCATCAGATGATGTATCCGATGAAGTGAGCTGTAGCTCACGAAAGCTTATGCTTATGCTCATGCTCAAATAAATGTGCGAGTCTCTAAGGTGCCACAAGTCCTCCTTTTCTTTTTGCGAATACAGACTAACACGGCTGCTATTCTGAAACCTGTCATTTAGAAATGTTTTACAATAAAGACATTTGAACAATTCCATTTTAACCTTTATTCTTACTGTTCTACAACTATTTTCATAGAGGTCATCATCATCAGGACTGAACTTGCAATTGTCAAAGCTATAATAGAGTGCTCAACCACCTCAGCCATAGGAACAACCAGTAAGGAGAAGGTACTGTGTAGTCTGCTATGTGGAGCAGCCCAACAGGGTGATGACAGAGAAAATCTGCATTTTTATTTTTCTAGTTCAAGTACTGAGGCTTGGTGGAGGCCCTAGGGTGGTGACTGGAGATGCCTGTGGGGTTGAGAATTCGAAGTTGTTGGATCTCCACTGATGGGGTAAGGGGAAAATCTTGAACATGTCTCTGCCTTGACATCAGTTCTGTCACTTTCATGCGGTAAAGGAAAGTTTAATCAGAATAAACATTAACTGGAGGCAAAAAGGTGACCAAAGGATGTTCTGATTAATAGAAACTGGATTTGACAAAAATAGCAAATTGCATCGTTTCTGTCTGTTGGGTAAGCAGCTTTTGAAGCCAAACAGGAAGATGCAAACAATTCTAGTGTGTGATATTGGAGGCTCCATTCTTGTTCCTTGTCATTTAATAAACGTCTTTCCGTAGTAAATTATTAAGTCAGGATTTTCTCTGGTCTGGGCCTGAGGAAGTGAGATGAGAGGACAGGAAATCAAACAAACAAGCCTTCCCTTGGCATCACTGTCTCATTGTGTTTCATGAAAGGTGCCACTCTTCATAATTTTTTTTAAAGTGGCCTCTCTTTGATAGCTGAGCTCAGCAACTCTGAAACAAGGGCTCTCTGCTGTTATTCACAGACATGATTAATTTGCTGTTTCCATCAATCAGAAGATCCGTGCACTGACAGAATGCAACTGAGTATTTGAAAAGATTCCTGCCTTAGGTTTGCTATGGTCATATCAAGGAAGGGCCTGAACCAGCCCAGCCCACTCAACTTCAGGGAAATTTGGATCACGCTCTGAACTCTGTGGCTCGGGCCTCTCCCTGGTTACATTCAGGGATAAGTTTCAGAGTAGCAGCCGTGTTAGTCTGTATCCTCAAAAAGAAAAGGAGGACTTGTGGCACCTTAGAGACTAACACATTTATTTGAGCATAAGCTTTCATGAGCTACAGCTCACTTCATCAGATGCATCCAGTGGAAAATACAGTGGGGAGATTTATATACACAGAGAACATGAAACAATGAGTGTTACCATACACACTGTAACGAGAGTGATCAGGTAAGGTGAGCTATTACCAGCAGGAGAGTGTGTGTGTGTGTGTGTGTGGGGGGGGGAACCTTTTGTAGTGATAATCAAGGTGGGCCATTTCCAGCAGTTGACAAGAACGTCTGAGGAACAGTGGGGGGTGGGGGGGAGGAATCAACATGGGGAAACAGTTTTGCTTTGTGTAATGACCCATCCACTCCCAGTCTTTATTCAGGTCTAAGTTAATTGTATCCAGTTTGCAAATTAATTCCAATTCAGCAGTCTCTCATTGGAGTCTGTTTTTGAAGGTTTTTTGTTGAAGAATTGCAACTTTTAGGTCTGTAATCGAGTGACCAAAGAGATTGAAGTGTTCTCCGACTGGTTTTTGAATGTTATAATTCTTGACGTCCTTCTTGTGTCCATTGATTCTTTTACGTAGAGACTGTCCAATTTGGCCAATGTACATGGCAGAGGGGCATTGCTGGCACGGCTCATGATGGCATATATCACATTGGTAGATGTGCAGGTGAACGAGCCTCTGATAGTGTGGCTGATGTGATTAGGCCCTATGATGGTGTCCCCTGAATAGATATGTGGACACAGTTGGCAATGGGCTTTGTGGCAAGGATAGGTTCCTGGGTTAGTGGTTCTGTTGTGTGGTGTAAAAAGAAAAAAGAAAAAGCGTACTTGTGGCACCTTAGAGACTAGCCAATTTATTTGAGCATAA